TTGACTCTGATGTTCCTCAAGAAGGTTCCAGAATCAGCGTTGTGGTTTACCGTTTCGCCACGAAACAGCCAAATCAAAATGGTTTGATTGTTTCGTGTTAGCAGTTGCAAAAATGTTTGTCATGTCTATTCAAGTCTATTCATGGAAATTATAAGCATTTAAGACTATTCAGAGTCTACGTAAAGTCCAAAAGAAAAAAATCAAACGAAGCAGCCTCTGAACAAGGGTAACTTCCTACCCATAGAATTTTAGATTCTTAAATGAATGTTTGCTTCTTTTGGAGTTTGTGGTCTAAACTTTCGTTGACCGTTTATTGTATATCAAATGGTTTGTTTAATTTAAGCGAGCTACTAGACTAGTAGTTTGTGATATAGTGTATGTCAATTAAGGATAAACACAAATGTTACATTTATGTGATTGATATTCTGTTTTTTTCTAAAAATTGACAGAAGCGTTTTAGTTGTGAACAAATTTCAACGTATATGTTAACTAATGTTTAATGGTGTGAAAGTTTGAAATGGACGAGACGATGTGAGGAGAATATGAAACCACAATTGTTTAGTCTTTCGTAACTTTATAAAGCCAACATTCCATCAAATGATATTTCTCCTAACACGAGATCATAAGGAATAAGATAAAGCAAAAGAGATGAAGGAAAAATGAATGACTTCCAAAGTTCTCTTCGCAAAAGTCTACGCTTACTTTGATTGTGTTTCTTTTGTTGTCTTGTGCTATTAGTAGATGGAGTCCAAGATATTGCATCCATGCTTAAAAAGATCAAGAATACACCACATGTTTTTGGGGGAAAAGTATATTAAAGCCCAAAAGAATGTTTTGGAATAAGTATATATATATTTTGATACGATTTTTGTTTCATAAATGGAAAGCCAAAAAAATGAAACTATCATACTAAGAAGTTACATATTAATAGACGTATCTTACATCTTCATAAACTCCCAAAAAACCCTAAACCTAAGTGAAGAAAATGTGTACTAGTATGAGATGATAGATGAACATATTTAGATAAGCATTAAAAACATGAAAGGAAATGTTTGTAACAATCAATTCCAAAGAGGGGTCTACTACAAACATATATAATAAACACGAGCAACCGTAATGTTTGCTTCCACATTCAAAATTTCAAAAAGGTCGAATTATTAGTGTATTGTTTTTGTTTGTTTGGTTTTAGACTGTGGATGAACAAATCAATGCATTGATAATTGCACATACTTTTTTCTTTTCTCTTGCTACTCACTTTACATCTGTAAATATTGCAATAAATTTCATATATATATATATATATATATAAATTTAGAAAAACACCAATTAATGTCTCCTTGCAGTCCACATGGGCTTCCTAAACGTCAAATTTTCCCAATTTTCAGAATTAGGTGAAACGTTATTATATCTAAAAAACAGTCTAGATAATATGTCTGCCACTTAAACAAAAAGCAGCTTCCTCTTTTGTTTAGTTTTGATGATTTATCAAATGAATATCAATAAAAAAAATACGAATAAAATCAATTAATATACTTTGTAATATCAATTGAAACAATGCATTACACATAAAAAAGAAATAAAACACATAAAAAGAAACAGTGGAAAGCAGAAAACGAGATGGGTATTACTAAAGAATTAGTTTAAATGATTAACAAATGAGTGGGATTTTTGCTTCTCCCAAAGCGTAATTTATCTGAAAATGTGTCTCGTGTTGAGAGTAGTTGAGATTCTTGCTATTCTCCAACTAAACATTAACTTTTATTAAAATTAAAGAAAATAAAAAGATGGATCAAAAACGAGATCCCCTTTTTCGATATCCGAATAATGTTTTTCTTTGCTTTTAATGTGTCTCTTTCTTATGATTTAGGATTCCAATTCCTTCCCTTTCCCCTTCTTGTTCTCTCCATATTCTCCTCTTCAGAAAGAGATAGAGAGAGTCTTGTTTTTTTCCTGTCTTGAGTGATATTTTTTTCAGAGCCCTGAGTTGTTGTCTCCATTAATGGCGTCAGAGAAATCTACCTCCAAGGGCCAAGCATGGTGAAGATCAGCTAACACTTATCTTAACAATAATAATATTTTAAAATGTTGCCTAAAGAAATTTTCTCATTTCCCTTTTTTTTTCGTTTTGGTATCGTGATGCAGGTTTTGTACGACTGGGTTACCTAGTGACATTGAAATCGAAGTTGATGACATGACATTCCATCTCCATAAGGTGCGTTCACAAAAGCCTGAAGATTTGTCTTCTTCTTTGGCACTCTCTGTTTTTTCTTTGATTACTCACAAGATTTGTGTTGTTGTCTGTGCCTTTTCCAGTTTCCACTCATGTCAAAGAGCAGGAAACTTCACAGGTTGATTACAGAGCAAGAGACTAGATCTTCCTCTTCCATGGCGCTGATAACTGTAATAGACCCAAAAGTAGAAGAGACTGACAAGAAAGGTAAAGGCCATGAAATCGAGGACGATAAAGAAGAAGAAGAAGTGGAAGAGCAGGAGATCGAAGAAAATGGTTATCCTCACATCAAACTCGAGGATTTTCCCGGTAGTTCAGAGAGCTTTGAGATGGTGGCGAAGTTCTGCTACGGCGTCAAGATGGACCTCTCTGCTTCCACCGTTGTTCCACTTCGTTGCGCCGCCGAACACCTCGAAATGACGGAAGAGTATTCACCAGATAACCTAATTTCCAAGACTGAGAGGTTTCTCTCTCATTCCGTCTACAAGAGCTTGCGTGAATCCATTAAAGCTCTCAAAGCTTGTGAGTCAGTCTCTCCTTTAGCCGGATCGCTTGGTATAACGGAACAGTGCATCGACTCTATAGTCTCCAGAGCTTCCTCAGCTGATCCTTCACTCTTCGGTTGGCCAGTAAACGATGGCGGCGGAAGAGGAAACATCTCCGCCACCGATCTGCAACTTATACCCGGCGGCGCGGCGAAATCTCGAAAGAAACCGAGTAGAGATTCGAACATGGAGCTGTGGTTTGAAGATCTGACGCAACTGAGTCTTCCGATCTTCAAAACTGTGATCCTATCAATGAGATCAGGAGATCTGAGCTCCGATATCATAGAGAGTTGTTTGATTTGTTACGCTAAGAAGCACATTCCCGGGATTCTACGTTCTAACCGGAAACCGCCATCGTCATCTTCAACCGCAGTTTCAGAGAATGAACAGAGAGAACTACTGGAAACAATAACCTCTAATCTTCCATTAGATAAAAGCTCCATCTCCTCAACAACGAGATTCCTCTTCGGCTTATTACGAACCGCAATCATCCTCAACGCCGCCGAGACTTGCCGTGATCTGCTGGAGAGAAAGATCGGATCGCAGCTAGAGAGAGCCACGCTCGACGATTTGCTCGTCCCTAGCTACTCATACCTCAACGAGACTTTATACGATGTTGATTTGGTAGAGAGAATCTTAGGCCACTTTCTCGACACCTTGGAACAATCCAACACCGCCATAGTCGAAGTTGACGGAAAATCTCCGTCGCTGATGCTCGTCGGGAAATTAATCGACGGATTTCTCGCGGAGATCGCATCGGACGCTAATCTCAAATCGGATAAGTTCTACAATCTAGCCATCGCACTCCCAGATCAAGCTCGTCTCTATGATGACGGACTTTACAGAGCCGTCGACGTATATCTCAAGGTATAACAATAAAATTCAATGTGAAGAGAAGATCGGAGAATTTGGATCTGATTTGTTTTGAAAATTTCGTTTTCTTCAATAGGCGCATCCATGGGTATCGGAAGCAGAGAGAGAGAAAATATGCGGCGTGATGGATTGTCAGAAACTGACGTTGGAAGCGTGCACACACGCCGCGCAAAACGAGCGGCTTCCGCTACGAGCCGTCGTACAAGTTCTCTTCTTCGAGCAGTTACAACTCCGGCACGCGATCGCCGGGACGTTATTAGCTGCTCAATCGCCGTCTACGTCACAGTCAACGGAGCCAAGACCGTCAGCGGCAATAAGGAATCTAACGATAACGGAAGAGGACGGTGATGAAGCGGAAGGAGAAAGACAGGTGGACGCTGGGAAATGGAAGAAGACGGTTAGAGAGAATCAGGTGCTTCGCTTGGATATGGATACGATGAGGACGCGTGTTCATCGGTTAGAGAGAGAGTGCTCGAACATGAAGAAAGTGATCGCGAAGATTGATAAGGAAGGTTCATCACCGGCGACGACGACTGATCGGCCGAGAAGTTGGTCGATTACCAAAAAATTCGGATGTAAATTCAAGACACAGGTCTGCGATTCACACGAAGCAACGATGGTTGATCATAGATCACGACGGTCTTGAATTGTTTTCGATTGATTTTACTCTTTTTAGTACAGAATCAGAAAGCATATTGTTGTGATTCTTGGATTTTAGTTTTTGTTAATCCTTCGAGATTCTTGCTATGCGACTGCTCTACACAAATGTGCATCGTTTTGAGTCTTGTACTCGAATTAGTAAAACCAGAAATGACATACGGCCCAAAGCCCATCGTTAAACGTTTCGAATTGAGCCCTTTTCTCGACTTCCTCCGAATGGGCCGTAACAATGGGCTTCAGTTGCCCTTATCTATCGTAAACTGGGCACTGTTTTGGAGAGAAATTGTTTCATATTTGTGGAATGTGCGCCGTTTTAACGTAGGAAAAGAGGGACGAACTACTCGCTGTTCAGAATCGGTAGTAGGACTTCATGTCGTTTTATAAAGGAGAGTTCCTAAAAACCTAAACCCTACTTTAGTTCTACTATATAAATCAACCGGCTTTGGCTGTGAAGAAGCCATTAGCACAATCCGAGTACCGAATCAAACCTAAGTCTCTGTAAATTTCCTCGTTTTCCGTAGATTTAGTTCTTTGTCATCCCATCTTATTAGGGTTATTCGTTTAATTTCGTTTGAATCAGTTGATACTCTCTGATTTTCCAATATGTGTTTGAATCGGCATATTAATCTTTGATCGACTCGATTTTGTGTTTTTAGAAAATAATTTAGATTTTTTTAGAGAAGGAAAAATATTCTCAGTGATGAAGAAACAATAGATGACGAGTCCGATGAAATCCATTCATAAAATCGTGGGGACAAACGAGGCATTTGTCTGAGAGGATTATTTTTCTTCGTTTTAGCATTCTAAAATATCTAGGTTTTAGGAACGTGTATAAAGGGGATTTCTCAGTGATGAAGGAACAATAGATGACGAGTCCGATGAAATCCATTCATTAAATCATGGGGACAAACGAGGCATTTGTCTGAGAGGAATCCTTTTTGTTCAATTAGTTTTGTTTTAATTAGACTTAGCAGGAAGAAGAAAGGCATGATGAGGATTGTTTTATTGTCATCTGATTTTTATTGATGAATCTATACCTCCTACTCATTCTGAGTGCCTTCTCTTGCTCTTAATTTTCAGTCACAGATATCATTGCATTAGTAGTCACTAAATTCGGATTCAATTATATTGACTCTAGGGAACACTACATTTCAAGTGAATCTACAGATACTCTAATAATATAACACAATCTGCTAAGACCAAGTGATAAACCAATTGAACTAACAAAAAAAATAAGTTTATGAAATCATAACTATTTCTTGATATTAAAAAATAACAGCAAAGATGCCAAGTTCATATAACATAAGGCCTTCAAGGAGAAACCATAACTTGTAATTTCAAACTGTATACTGGAAAGCAGACTGTGCTCAATGTGGTTTTGGATAATTCCCTGCATCCTAGTCCTGAAGTTGAAGCAAAACCTCTAGTATTGGCATTCTTACATATGATGAGTTAATTTCTGAGAGGGACGTACATTCTGATTCAGGCTCTAAAGGATCGATTAAGATTTTTAATTTATCAGGACCAAATCAGAAAAAATTTATATGATTTCTATCTGTATACTTAGAACAGAATCCATAAAAGAAAAATGTTGTTGAAGATCAATTGGACATTGGACAAAAACCTAGTGGGCCGGGCCTTCTTTGCATCTACTACTTGAAAGCCTTAAAAAAGAAAATTAATTGAAAATTAAATTTTACATTTAAGTGTTAGCATCCAAGGCCCATTAGCTCAGTTGGTTAGAGCGTCGTGCTAATAACGCGAAGGTCGCAGGTTCGAAACCTGCATGGGCCACCTTTAATGTTTTTACAACATAACAATTTTTGATTATTTTATACTATTATACAGGTCAGCACCCCTGACTGAGACAGTATCCATATCTCCACTTCAGATTTCGACACGTGGCAACAAAAAAAACCAGACACTCCGATTCCCACGAAACAAACCAATCAAAATCGTTGCCTTATCCCAATCTTATCTCAGCCCTTTTGATTATTACTCTTTAGTCTTTACTTTGCTCACAGCTTTGGATCACCAAAAAAAAAACTCAAGAGAGACTTTGTGGCCATGGCAGCCTCTCTCCAATCCACCGCTACATTCCTCCAGTCGGCGAAGATCGCCACCGCTCCTTCTCGCGGAAGTTCTCACCTCCGATCGACTCAAGCCGTCGGCAAATCTTTTGGGCTCGAAACTTCCTCGGCTCGCCTCACTTGCTCCTTCCAGTCTGACTTTAAGGACTTCACCGGTAAATGCTCCGACGCTGTCAAAATCGCCGGATTCGCTCTTGCCACCTCTGCTCTCGTCGTCTCGGTAACTTTCTTTAATCTCCGACTCTCCTTTAAAACTATAGATTAATCAAGAAAAAAAAGGAGAATTGAGTAACAGAGAAGAAGAGTATTTTGTTGTGTTTGTGATAACATGTTTATGATTTGCATTACTATGTATCGAAGTTGGCACTTGAGAACACCTAAACCAATAACAGACTCGGATAGTATAATAGAAGGAGAAACCGCTATTCCAATTCTGTAATCTTCGATTCATGTAGATACAATCTTCTTGGATCAGTGAGTTTGATTTAAAGTTGCTTGTTTCTCGTGTAATGAAAGGGAGCAAGTGCGGAGGGAGCTCCAAAGAGATTGACCTATGATGAGATTCAGAGCAAGACATACATGGAAGTGAAAGGAACTGGAACGGCTAACCAGTGCCCTACTATTGACGGTGGCTCTGAGACTTTCTCGTTCAAACCCGGAAAGTATGCAGGAAAGAAGTTCTGCTTTGAGCCTACTTCCTTCACCGTCAAGGCAGACAGTGTAAGCAAGAACGCTCCTCCAGAGTTCCAGAACACAAAGCTCATGACCCGTCTTACCTACACCCTTGACGAGATCGAAGGACCCTTCGAGGTTCGATTTCGCGTCTTTGCTTAGACTGCAAGAAAAAACTCTGCTTAGGGTTAGGGTTTGTGATTGATCGTCTCTTTAATGAGCAGGTTGCTTCAGACGGAAGCGTCAATTTCAAGGAAGAAGATGGAATCGACTATGCTGCAGTCACAGTCCAACTTCCAGGAGGTGAACGTGTGCCATTCCTTTTCACAGTCAAACAGCTTGACGCCTCAGGCAAACCAGACAGCTTCACCGGAAAATTCTTGGTTCCATCGTACCGTGGCTCTTCCTTCTTGGACCCAAAGGGCCGTGGTGGATCCACAGGATATGACAACGCCGTGGCATTGCCAGCTGGAGGCAGAGGAGACGAGGAGGAGCTTGTAAAGGAGAACGTGAAGAACACTGCCGCTTCAGTGGGAGAGATCACTCTGAAAGTGACAAAGAGCAAGCCGGAGACAGGAGAGGTGATCGGAGTGTTCGAGAGTCTTCAGCCGTCGGATACTGACTTGGGTGCTAAGGTACCAAAGGATGTGAAGATCCAAGGGGTGTGGTATGGTCAACTTGAGTGATCATGTTATTATATTTTCCGTTGATTGTGTTTGATGATAATGATAACATCTTTTGATGCTTTCTTCGTTTATCTCTCTTATATAAAATGCACATGCCTAAGATCTTGAATTTTCTGTATATCCATGTCCTTCATCGTAAAAACAGTACCGATTTTAACCTTACGGTCTATGATGAGAAAAGCATAAAAATTGTTTGTTATCGACTAAATCTGGTTTGGTTAAGACTTAAGAGTCTATTGGAAAGTTGTGAAGCACATGTTAAGCAGTTGAGGTGAGTCTCTTTGTGAAGGTGAAGATGAGTTTATATATCTTCTTGTTTAAACTCAATAAACTAGGCTAAGTTAGCATTTATCAGAACTATAACCAAATCGAATTTGTTGTATATATAGATTGGTACAGTTATTTATCACCAAATTTAGTCCACTTCGAACCAAGTCAAAGAAAAATAGGAAATGCACATCCTTAAGAACCTCTAATTGTCGGTTAAAAAAGACTAAGAACTGTTCAAAACTTATGATCTCAAATGGTAATAATAGAAAGAACTAGCCGTTGTTTGTTTGTTTTTGTCTCCCTTCAACCCAACCCTTTGTGTATTTTTCCTACACTATATTATCCAATGTTTGGGCCTTAAAACATGTTATCAGTCCCCAATATGATGGGCTTTCTTGTATAAGTTTACAAATAAAACTCCTTTTTTTCTTCATCTTTTTATAAATAGATAAACCTCCATTTGACAGTAACAACAAAAATATACATGACTGGATTGCATGGTACTCCTGTGATATAGTATTTTATAAGAAATTAGTTAGATGCATCGGGTGGCGAGTAGCAAGTGGAAATAATGTTTTAATTTTTGAAAATAATTTAGTCTTAATCCGCCACTGATTACGCTGTATTTAATGTGCATGGGGTGTGAATATTATATAAACAACAGTGTTTTTGTTTAACCTATAAATTAAAATATATAATGGTCTGGGTTTGGTCTTACATCTCGAAACATGAAAGAACACAGACAATTACGTTGGCGTGGGACACAGCACATAACAACTGCAGATCGCAGACAGATTCTCTCTTAAGTATCAAACCATTAAACCACTCGTATTAGTCTAATTAGTCAGATTAGTTTATCTTCCTAGGGACATAATTCTATTTTATATTTCAGATAGATCGGATTCATCGCAATGCATAGTACAAATCTTACATTCACTCGGCCAAAATTTTCAGATCTTGTAGCAGTAGATTGTATGAGCGTGTGTTAGTACTACCTAATCACATGTTCGAAATCTAAAATCACTATTGTTTTATAGCAAATTAATTTATAGATATTAAAGACAGTAACAAAGAACTTCAAATAAATTACCATAAGAGTATTATCAAATAGGAACAAGAATGTGCCTCGTGCTCGAAATGGAAGTATATCGTAAGCAAAATTGTATTATTGTCTAATTTCACCTCATGGAATAACTATTGTTGGCCTTATATATGTTTTTGTCATTACCGTGGCAGATTAATATCCACTAGACCTGAGTGACCTGACGAACCATTATTTAAATATTCAAACAAAATGGTTATAGGAACTTGGGACAAGTTTTTACGTATGTAAAAACAAAAGATATATCAGACAAAATCAAGTAAAATATTTAAAAAAACCCATCGTAAAATTAGACATCGGTGGAGACGTGGGTGATTTCAGTCCCACAAAGACATAGGCAGGGAAGGAAAAAAAAAAAGATATTTCTTTCATTCTTTATGTGTAAGTGAATGAATAATTGGTTTGAACTAACTCTATATTCAGAAAGTATAAAGTAGTAGGGAAATTAGATATTTACTTGTCGACCACTTAAAAAGATATTTTACTTAATCATTAACATAGCAAATGATATTTTAAAAGTGATCAGTCCCCTTTAACACAAAAAGAAAGACGAAACTCTTCAACAAATCGATATGAATGAAATCATTAAACCATGCAATATAATATCGTAAACACAATACAAAAATCAAATTTTATACAGCTTTTTGCATACCGTCCAAATCCACCATAAAAATAGACTCTATAATTTTAAAGGTCTTCCTAATAAATGCCACATTCATGCAAAATAAAAAAGTAACAATAAAAAAATGAAGGTAGGTGACTCTTGTATCTACCAAAAGGGTCCAAAAAGAATCTAAAGGGACCCAATCACACATGCCAGCCTGACCAGCCCCAATAGTCTTCACGTGAGATCTAACCCACCGGTGACGCTAAACCTCCGGCCAACTCAATCTTGTCTGCTTGCCGGTCCTGCCTCTGTCTGCCACGTGGCATCTTCCTCCCTCACAAGTCACCACCTAT